TAGCTGTAGTGAGCCCAGCTTTCTGCCACTGTAAATCTCCCTGCAACAGATTGCTGCATGATAGGACCTCGGAACCTGTTGCTGTCTGTCATGCCTTGGGCCTGACCCTGTTGCCGTGCTGCCCTGTTAGGTGGTGCCATCCAGTAGGTAGTGTGCTAAGGAAACAGCTCCCAATAGCAAGGTCTGAACAGTTCTTGAGTTGTTCTGTTTCATTTTATTCCAGTCATGCAAACTTAACAGTCGGGCCTGGACTGGGGGCCTCTCCTGCCACATCTGTGGGAAGCACAAGGTGGCCAGCAGCCTGAGGACAGGGTCTGGCTGCAGTCTCCTTCCAGTGCTATTTCTAGCTTCATGTCCTATGGCTCAGCCTCAGCAAAGGCTAAAGGGAATGTTTCTCAAAATGAAAAGTAAGTTGTTCGTGCTGGGCAGGTGCTCTGAGCTTGTGAACAATGAGTGAGCTGACGGAGGCCCAAAGTGGTGATTGTTGTTAGAAGGCACGTGCCTGGTGCAGTGTGGCTGACCCGTCTCCATTCTTTCCTTGTGCTAGGTGAGTTCCCTGAGCAAGAGCACCTGTGCATTCTATTTCAGGCCCGACCAAGGGAAGTGCTTTTGAGCTCAGCAGGGTCCTGCGGTATGCGCTGCCCATGCTCACCAGCAGCATGTCCTAATGGGGAGCATACTACTTTTATTTTGTGGTTGTTCAGCAATAATGGCATTGTATGGCTCTGAAATAAATTATTCCACAGAGTGAGACAGAGTACATTGGACAGTGCGGGCTTGTTGAGTTTGCTGAGGCCGAGGGCATCTGGTGCAGACTGGCCGGGGACCCCTGTTCACCATTTCAGCACCTTCTTTGCACATCCAGCACCCGGTGTAGTGTCTGCACAGGAGAGTGGCTGAGGAGAGCAATCAGGGTGTGAGTGAGCAGAGGAGGAAGAAGGTGGTGGTGTTTTCATTGCTTCGAATTCTAGGACAGGATTCTGGGTGTGCGCTCCACTTTCCTGGTGAGGACATTACCTCCAATGGACCCATTGACACTGTGCTTTGACAGTGAATGCAGCAAGGCACACAGGGAGTATCTTCAGGGCCAACCAGCAGGACATACGTCGGCCCAGCGTCTCAGATATTTAAGAAAGTTACTGAAAGTATTCTCACTGCCCATTGTAGATGGAATCCCTTTGAATGGTTAAGGAATTTGCATTTAAGTACAGTTTGGGTGGGAATGCAGAGAAGGCTGGGGCCTGGGCCTCTGCCTGGGGAGGTGGGGCTGGGGACAGGGCTGCCTTGGCCAAGTGGAGCCCCTTTGGTTCAAGGCTTTTCTGGCCCTTGACTGCCAGGGAGAGTTTTCTTAGGACCTTGGGCTGAGTGTCCACTGAGAGATCTGGGCATTTACACTTTCATTATGTAGCCTTGGTAAGGAACACTCACACATAGGTAAATCCTTTTTGCTTTTTTTTTTTTTCTTTTTCTTTTTTGCTTTTAACAGAGGCTTTATATGTTTTTTTTCTTTTCCCCAGAACCTGCATTTTCTACCCTCTCAAAAGGGTCTGGGTCTGTCCCTCAATTGAAATACTACTTGGTTTAAGCAAAGGCCCCTTTTGAGATGTCTTGGGGCACTTGGGCTGTGTTCTGTTCACTTCCTGTTCTCCGTGGCTGGGCCCAGGGCAAGAATGTCCCTCTTCTGCATTTTCCTGGCCAGTGCAGCCCTTCCCACAGAAACCCCATTCCTACCACTGCCCCAAAGCAGACTGCACAGAGCCCGTTAGAGCACCCCCTCTGCCTCCCCACCCCACCGTTTCCTCTGGCACCTTCCGTGAGAGCAGAGGGCTCTAGACACACCACGCTACCATCCAGGCATGAGATCCAAGTACATGTGCTCCCCTCTGGGAAGGCTGGGGCAGGCACGGTTGCTTTCATCTGGGGTCAGACGTGACTGCCACCATTCTCAGGTTGTGGCACCTTGAGGACAGCATGTCTGGAGGGGGACTTGGATCCTCCTGCACCTGTGGCACCGATCCCAGCTCACCTGCCTGAGAGGCCTGTTCCTCAGGCCCTGCTGCTGAAGAGCAAGGACCACAGACCAGTAGCTTGTCACTCTGCATAAGCGGGAACGTGCAGGTGGGCACTCGAGTTGGGAGCAGGAGTTAGTGTGTGAGTGTCTGAGAACCCTGGGAGATCAGAAAGAGCCTGGTGGAGGTGAGGGCACAGCAATATCGGGTGCTAGAGAAATTTCCTAAGGGTTCACATGTTTCAAGTGACACAACATTGTGTTACTTACTTTTCTCTCGTTGCTGAGGCAAAAGACCCAGCACCCAAAGTTAAAGGGGGAAAGGTTTATTTGGCTTGCAGTTCATAGAGGTTTCAGTCCATAATTGGCTGGGTCCAAGGCAGGGTGGGAGAGGGGCAACAGTTCCTGGTGGCAGAAGACAGCAGAAGCAACAAGAGACCTTAAGAATGTCTTTCTGCCCCTTTTATGTCATCTAGACTACAAGGATTAGGGCGGTGCCAAACCAATCACTCATGTTGTTTAGTAGTCACACACCCGTAATCCCAGCATCACACACTCTAGATTCAGCCACCTCAGAAAAACCCCTTCCTACAAGTGCATGAGGCTTTGAGAGGACATCTAGACTAAGCCATAACAAACTTCATCATCAGACCCACGGGCAGAAATTCTGTGTTAAGGGATGAAACCAAATTCTCTGCTGGAATGAAGGGAGGCAAAAATTTACTTAACTTATAATTAATTTTGGGATATACCAACTGTAGTAAAATTATTCATTGAAATCTTATTACTAAAAATCCTACCCTGTCAGTGTATGGCTTCACCCTCCCATTGTCAGTACTATTCTACTTAATGATCGACTGCCTGAAGAAGGCCCATCCTGTGCGTGCCCTTCGGGCTGCAGCACACTGCTTGGTTTTCAGCTGACAGTGTGGTTAGGGGAGTGCTGGGCCCGCAGTCAGGACCTTTGCAGAGCAGCACCCAGTGTGCCTGTGTGTGTGTCAGTGGAGTATCATGCCAGTGCCGTGGCAGTCACTCTGCATGTGTGCTTGCCCAGAGGTTGTGTGTGTTAGACATGGGGTCTGCCCATCTCCACCATCTGAAGGCCAGGCCTGCACAGCCTGTTTGGACTTGCAGGGAGGGCTGGGGTGCAGGTGACTCGTCCTGGGGCCTGTTGTTCAGAGTCAGTGGAGCAGCCCCGGCTTAGGAACTCAGCAAAGCTTGCTCTAGGTGGTCTCCATGGGGCCTCTGCTAGCAGGCCAATGGCTGTCTCCTTCCCCAGAGGCTTGACTTTCTCTAGGAAGTGGCTTTTTGGATGAGTTTGAAAAAGATTTAAACCTAATTTTTGACATTAGATTCTGGCTTCCTATCCTGGGTGGGGGGACGTATTATGATTGGAAAGTGGGGCTTGTACATGGTAAGGATCCACTACCAGTTTTTTAGTTCAGCTGGAGGGCCTGGCCTGGCACAGACACATCAACAGGACTAAGTCTCTGGCAGTCAGGGCTTCTGATGTCTACCCTGTCCGCTCTGCCTCCTCCTTGTGCTCTGCAGTTTCCGAAAGGCAGCCAGGATTGACCCCATCTCGTGTCCTCTCACCCTGCCTGAGCTTTGCCTTCAGGGAGAGAAGCCATGGTGGAAAGAGTGGGCAGTGTTTTGGTCAAAGGGATTTTGCCCTGATAAGAGAACTTGATAAGTAGGGATTATAAAAGACTGGATTACAACAGCTAGTGGTTGGAGTGCTAGCTTTGGTAGCACTTATACAATAGCTAGTGGTTGGATGACTATTTCTGGAAATAGGTAACAATGAAAACAGAATCCCACCTATTTGGGAACCAGAAAAATACAACTGAGTTTGAATCGGTGCTTTGAGACTCTTGTTTTTCTGGGGTTTATCTTCACTGGGTTCTGAACCAGGACACAGCAGAAGAGCAGTGCCATCTGTGGATAAAAGCCCTTCCCGCCAGAGCACTAAGCCAGGGATGGATCTAGAATTTCCATGAACTGTTTCCATTATTTAGAGACCTGGGAATGCTAGCCTGTAGGCATGTAAGAGGCTCCAGGGTGCTGGGAGAAGTCTTGCACATCAGAAATCCAGGAGCATGGCTTTCCTATTAAAATTACTAATTACAACAATAATGATTTTTTTAAAAATATTTTATTGAAGTAAAATTAACACATAATGATTCTTAAATTTAGCTATGCATCACAATCATCTGCTTTGTTTTGTTCTTAAAGACGAATTTCTCAGGCGTGAGCCAGTCTTAGGTATCCATGAGAGGAACCCTAAATTCATATTTTCATCCAGTCCTTGAGGTATTTTCATTCAGCTGGTGATGGAAGCACCTTGACAGTAATTAGCCTGGTAAAATCTATTTCAACGTCTAGGTCCTTGTATCTAAACATCCCTCCCTCCTCTACCCACCTACACACTCATCACCCATCTTTCACACACTCACTCTTCCTCCCTACCTCTATCATCCATCCATCCATCCATCCATCTGTCCATCCATCTCTCTGTCATCCACCCATGAAATGCAGTGAACACTGCTTATGGGCCAGGCATAGTCCTAGGCTCTGAAAACAGCTGTGAACCAAAAAGACTAAGGCAGGCGAAAGATGCTGCCAGCATGGAACTTGGTTTTTACTGGCCTGAGATATTGTGGGAGAGATGAACAAATGAAAACACCTGATGTTAGATTGTGGTATGTTTTGAAGAGAAAAAAGGAAGCTAGAGAAGGTGACCCAAGTGTTGGGTTAGGGCCTGAAGTCAGGATACAGTGTTTAGGGAATGCACTATTTGAGCCTGTTCTGAAGACAGTAAGAGGACAGCTGTGTGGCGCCGGGGGAGGAGAGCAGTTGACAGAGGGAGGTACCGTGCCGCTGTGGAGCGGGACCTTCGCCGGCCAGGGGCTGGTGAAGCTAGATCGTGGGCCCACAGAGCCATGGGCCTGTGCGTGCCAGCCCCTCATGCCGTCTTCTTTTTTCCCTCCAGAACACTACAGCTACTCATCCTCCAGCCTCAGCTCTGCTCTGCCTCTCCCTGTGGCACATACCTCCTTGCCAGCCCCGTGCCATGACCTTCAGACGTCCACCCCGGACATCTCAGCCATCCCTTCAGCGAATCACCCTTCCGGGTATGGAGGGGCTGTGGACAGCGGGGCTTCTGGGTACTTTCTGTCTTCCAGCAGCACCCGGCCCAATGGGGCCCCAGCCCTGGAGAGCCCTCGCATTGAGATCACCTCGTACCTGGGCCTGCACCACGGCAGCAGCCAGTTTTTCCATGATGTGGAGGTGGAGGATGTGCTCCCTAGCTGCAAGCGGTCGCCATCCACGGCCACTCTGAGCCTGCCCGGCCTGGAGGCCTACAGAGACCCTTCGTGCCTGAGCCCGGCCAGCAGCCTGTCCTCCCGGAGCTGCAACTCTGAGGCCTCCTCCTACGAGTCCAACTACTCCTACCCGTACGCATCCCCACAGACCTCCCCATGGCAGTCGCCCTGCGTGTCTCCCAAGACCACGGACCCTGAGGAAGGCTTTCCCCGAGGCCTGGGCGCCTGCCACCTGCTGGGCTCCCCAAGACACTCCCCGTCCACCTCACCCCGCACCAGTGTCACTGAGGAGAGCTGGCTGGGGGCCCGAGGCTCCCAGCCTACGTCTCCTTGCAACAAACGGAAGTACAGCCTCAACGGCCGGCAGCCCTCAAGCTCTCCACACCACTCACCCACGCCGTCCCCACACGGCTCGCCACGGGTCAGCGTGACTGAGGACACTTGGCTGGGCAACTCCACCCAGTACACCAGCTCGGCGATTGTGGCGGCCATCAATGCCCTGACCACCGACAGCAGTCTGGACTTGGGGGATGGGGTCCCTGTCAAGTCCCGCAAGACAGCCCTGGAGCACTCACCCTCTGTGGCGCTCAAGGTGGAGCCGGCTGGGGAGGACCTGGGCACGACGCCACCCACGTCCGACTTCCCGCCAGCGGACTTCACCTTCCAGCACCTGCGGAAGGGCGCCTTCTGTGAACAGTACCTGTCGGTGCCACAGCCTCCGTACCAGTGGGCCAAGCCCAAGTCGCTGACCCCTGCGTCCTACATGAGGTGAGTGGATGCAGCTGGCTGGGCTCAGCCTGCCCCGTTATTCCTGTCGAGCTTTCTGGCATGGAGAGGAGAGGGGAGTCACTGTGGTTTCTTGGTGCTGCGCTGCACCTCTGCTTCCTGTGGGGACGGCCTGTCTCCAGGTTTCTTTTCCCTGAGGACCCAGCCCTGACAGCCTCATTGTAACCTGATCATCTACAAAGACCCTCTTTTGCCTGAGGTCCTTTCCTAGTCCCAAGTTTAGGGCTTCAACATAGTCATCTGGGGACATAATTCTGCCGTAGCAAGGTTCAGCAGCACATGAACACAGTTGTGCTTTTTATAAAACTGAGCCACACAATCACCCATGTGTGCCTGCCTGCTGCTCACCCACTTCCTCTCTTGCCTTAATTGCTGTCACCATGGCTGGCACAGATGGGACCTCAGCTCAACAGTCCCCCAGAGCAGCCGCCTCGTCAGTGTTCGGTGAACAACATACCCGCCTCCTCCCGGGAGACCTGCTCTCACTCGCTGGCAGTCTGGTGACAGAGAGCTCGAGCGTGTTCTTAACTTTGGTCTTGGGTTGCTGGTTTTCCTTTTTAATGGGGCACACGGCTGCTCTCGTTCTACCGGGCCCACTTAACCAGCCCAGCGCTTTTATTTTTAACCAAACAGCTTTCCCACAGGTGGGCCATTCATGACCCCTGGCAGGGTGCTTTCTGCTCCAGAATTTTCCTCTGAGGAATAAAAATGTCCAACAAGGGCCGTAGTCAGAGCCAGGGCAAGTCCTAGGCTGAGGGATGACTGTTCCTGTGGACTCTGTGCACCCTACAGCAGCTTGGGCCTGGCCCTTTTTTGCTTTTGTTTTTTTTCTGTTTTCTCCTCATGTAGGGTATCCCAGGGTGGGAGTAGGGCAGCAGCTGCCCCAGAAGAACAGGAGATCAAGGAGGTGACTGGGTGCAGAGTCCTCTGCCCCTCTGGGGTCCACCCCTTCACAGCACAGTTGCACGGCCGTGCCCCATCAGGGCTGCACATGGATAGTGCTGGCTGTGAATATCCCTGCTGCAAGTTTTTGAGAGTCTGTAGCAGGGAATGACAGGAGTCTGCCTGATGGCGAGCCCTGGGCTTCCTGGGCAGTTTGGTTGAGAGAGAAAGAAGTGCTGCTCCTTACACGTCTGCCTTCCTGTTCCTGCCTCTCTGTTTAGTCCCAGGAGGTTTAAGGGGCTGATGACTCAGTTATCATCAAAATGAGTGTCTCAGAGCTGGGCCTAGCGGCACACACCTGTAATCCTAGAACTCTCAGAGGCTGAGGCAGGAGGATCATAAGTTCAAGCCCAGCACAGGCTGCTTAACAAATTAATGAGACTCCGTCTCAAAGCAGAGATTATAAAAGGGTTAGGGATGTAGCTCAGTGTGAAGGCCCAGGGTTCCATCCATAGTATGGCAAAAAAAAGAGAAAGAAAGATAGATCATCTCAAGACTGGAAATAACTTCATAAACATGCGAATCTACAAAAAAATCTATGTGGAAGTAATTTGAGAAATTTAAGAACTGTTGATGCCTGCAGTGCTATCATTATAATTTTTATTTAACTTAAAAGAATATCTCAGTGCTAACTCTCACCATTCACTCACTCACATACTACACTCTGTGATCCAAATTTCACAGACATTGAGGGTCATTGTCATGCATAGTGGGCTTGACTGAACTCTTTAGAGCAAAGGAAGAGGGATGAGATCAGTATAACGGTGACGATAAACCCAAACAGTCCCTTAAAGTTTGAAAATTCAGGTAAGCCTTGCATTTTAGTGTCCCAGAGCTGTCACAGCCAAGTACCCAGATGGGGAAGTGTGAACAAAGGAATTTGTTTCATCTCTGGAGGCGGGAGTCCAGGATCAAGGTGCCCCAGGTCTGGTTCCGCTGAGACATCCCCTTTCGGATGAGGGCCTCCCCTGCTGACCTCGTTTTAGCTTGGTCACTTCTTAAAGGCCCTTTCTCCAAATATCGTCACATTCTGAGGTACTAGAGGTCAGCACTGCCATACAGGAATTCTGGGGGCCACAATCAGGCCCTGACTGCCTGTCCTGTATCCCAGGAAAATGGCAGGACCTCTCTGAATGCAGAGTCCATTCTTTGGCGTTTTCTTGGTCCTGGCCAGGGACTTTGGCGTTCCTGGTGGATCATGGCCTGCTATCTGCCTATCTCAGACCTGCCTGGCAAGGCCGTTGGAAAGCACAGTTGCTGTTTTCTTCCTTTGCTTCGGAGCATTGGCAGTGATCTCATGGCAAATGATGCTGTCATCTTTATCTCCTGGTCACAGATATTGCTGGCTAGGTGTGATGGCCATGACATTCCTGTGAGTTAACACAAACAAACAAGAGGAGTGGAATGTACCAAACCACCTTGGGGGTTTGACGTTCACCTTTCTCTCTGTTTTGGTTCTACCTCAAAATATGTCTCCTGGTCCCTTGTGATGTTCCATACTCCTCATTAACTGCTGCTCTGGGGCAGCTGGAAGCCACAAGCCGGATGAAATGTGAAGTTATTTTGCCAGTGAAAGGGAGTGGCCAGACTTCCTTCCCCACGGATGCTCTCAGTGGATATGCACGAAACCACACAACTGATAGCTGGGATTGCTGCTGATTGTCTCCCTAGTTTGGGATGGGAAATTCTCAATTTTAGCCAGTCAATTTTACCCTTTCTTAGGATGCAGGACCTCATCTCTTTCAGTCTGTCCCAATGTTAAAGGAGCTTGTGATGAAGTGCCCCAGGCTTATCTTCCCCAAGGAATTTAGGTGTTACAATCATTTCCCTTTTGGGGACTTTTTTGTTCTTTTTTTATCATCCCATCTTCTGTGCAGAGCACTCAGATAGGCCCACACAGATTCAAAAAATGACACCAAATTCTGCCAGAATGGAAGAAACTAGGCGCCGGGGATTTGGCCCAGTGGTGCTGCCACCTGCCTCTCAAGTGCGAGATCCTGAGTTCAATCCCCAGTACCAAAGGAGGAAAAAAAGAGAAACTCCTATTATGTTGGTGAATGCAATGAGAGTATTTGATAGAGTTGCACAGTTTAGGGTTTAACTGAATGACATTTATAGCCTGGGGAGCGGATGCAGAAATCATGGATGACTTCCTCAACACGCCCTACCCCTAAGAAAATCAGAAGTTTAATTTCTTGGGAAGGAGTAGGATTCCTTCCCTCTTTACATGTGCCTATGGGTGGAGTGACTTGGTGTGATACTCCTGAACATGGGGAGGAGCACTCCCTGGCCTGGTGACACACAGAGGGGACACCTGGAACCTGTCCCTGGCCAGGGGAGGGTGTGCGCCTGCTGCTGTACAGAAGGTCCCAGTTCACATTCATTTATTTCTAAATGTGGTTTTAGATAGAGGCTTGGGATTTATATATTAACCCAATGGAACTAAAGTTTAAACAATCCTTTGTCCATCTATTCCATCACCAAGCCGCATCCAATCAAGTGCTTGTCATTACTGTGCATGTGTGACAGTGTCTGGAGCATTTTTGCTCTTTCAGAAGAGGCTCATGTGAGGTCCCAACCCTTGGTCCGTGAAGGCCTTTCACTGTCTGTGCCCACATGGGCTTCTATCAGGAGGCAGATGTATAGGAGGAATTTAGAGGAAAAGGAGCTAGTTTGAGGAAAGCAGAAGCATTTTAACTGAGAGTATTTGCAACACCAATAGCACACGTGTTGAGTTAAATCCTCTGTGTGAACTGCTGCTTGTTTTCTTTTTTTTTTTAAAGTCGGTACATGTTTGCAGTATATAATGATTACATTTATCAGAAGGAGTAGGTACGTGGGCATAACGTATCTTGACTCTTTTTTTTCTCCTTCCCTTTTCCTACTTCCCAAATCACTGCTTTTTAGAAAGAGTACAATTTCTGAGGGAGCGGACAGACTCGGTGAATAGGTTTTACCCAAAGTCTGCTTGGTTCTGAGGATCACAAGTAGGTACATGTATTGGTCAGCTTTTGTTGCTGTGACCAAATACCTGAGAAAATCAACAAAGAAAAAGATTCATTTTGGCTCATGGTTTCCGAAGATCTAGTCCATGGTTAGCTGGCTCCATTACTTTGGGCCTGAGGTGAGGCAGACACCTCATGGTGGAAGGGCCTGGTGGAGGGAAGCCGCGCCCTTCCTGGTAACCAGGGAGCAGGGAGAAGGAGTCGGAGAAGAAGAGGCTGGGGGCCAGGTGCAGACCTCTCCGTCCTATCCCATCATCTGTTACCTTCCACTAGGCCCCACCTCGTTTCCATCAACTCCCAATAAGACCACCAAATTATGATCTCATCCGTGATGGAATTAAAGGCCTTGTATCTGATCTCCCTTTTTTAGATTCCAGCCATGTCCAAATCAGTGTATATCAGGCATCAATTTTGGCTGTGATGTTGGAGGTCTTCGTGGTATCAGTAGCTTTGATGCTACACATACGTGTTAGCTTCAAAAGCCCTAACAGAAACCCTTTTGAATTTTAGAAGTTATGTGAATAGTTCAGTGTTTTTGCTAAAGTGGAATAAGATTAAATAAGCCTGTAGATGGGTAACAAGTAAATCCACATCTTGTCTTTCTCCAGGCGTAAATCTCCTAGCCATGTCACTCAGGAATTTCTACAACATTTTGGATAGCTGTTCTACTTTTGTGACTGAGTTCAGGTCTAGGATGGGCAGGGTGTCAGTGGAAGATGGTATGGGTTCCTGGGTCCCTAGGCCCATCTCCAGGCTCTGGTGGCCAGGCTGGACTGTTCAGAGCTCTGATGCTTGAAAAGAGCATTGTCCTGGGCTCCCTTTGAGGTCACAGATTGCAGGTTGATTCCAAACCAGTGTGCTAGAGGGCTGTGTCCTTGGAGGGTCTCCCAAAATCAAGGAGGATATGGACGGTCGTGGCCATAGGGTTTCTCCTGGCTCATCTCAATGAAGACTGAGGACATTTGCATCACCTCTTTGGCAGACAGGCATCCCAGAGGTCGAGGATGTGAAATTTGCCTTTGTGGTTTGCAAAGC